AAAAAAAAAAAAAAGGATCGCCCTCTAGTTGGGCCTTCAGATGACACTGTAGCCCTAACAGCTTCACTGCATACTCAGGAGACTGTGAGCCTGAGGCCCAAAGCTAAACTGTGTCCAGATTCCTGACTCATAGAAAGTGTGAGATAAAAAGTCTTTGGAGTAATCTGTTAAGCAGCAAAAGTTAACCATCATTCTATCATAAGAAAAGCTGGAGGGCGCCTGCGGGGCTGAGATGGTTAAGCGTCTGCCTTTGGCTCAGGTCATGATCCCGGAGTCTTGGGATCGAGTCCCGCATCGGGCTCCCTGCTCAGCGGAGAGCCTGCTTCTCCCTCTGCCTCTCATGAATAAATAAATAAAATCTTAAAAAAAAAAAAAAGCTGGATTTTATTTGCAACTGAAAACACATTAATACAACCTTTTCAATATTAAATTACTATTAGCAAGTATATTAGACATTAGTCATTATATACAAGTGAACTTAGGATTTACAAAAATCATGTAAAGAGAAATAAAACTCTACCTAGTCACAACTCTCTTCTTCTCATAGGGCAAATTATGTATGAGGGCTCAATTCATTCAGAATCGCTTATAATACTGAAGGTTTGGCCAAGGTTTACTTTTGATGATTTACATTGTTTATGTGTGTAAGTAAAAAGTGATCACAGAGGAAACTGAAAACATCTATTGGTGTGAAAGTACTTTTGAGGACTTTCAATATCTGTTTATATACAAGTTTTAAATATGCTAATAAAAATGATTCTTACTTGGTACTGTTCACTAAAGCAGATCTGGAAGGACTTCTGGTTAAGATTTTTTTTTTTTTATCGATTTTCTGTACCTGAAGCTCAATAAAACAAAAAACTCCAACTTCACTGTATTCTTAGAAGGGCCTCTGAATTAATGCTTATACATGCCAATCTGAGCTCACTCCCTAAGGAAAAGCTTTTGTTTTACAAGGTTCTCGGAGGAAGCAGGGTCATATGAAAAAGCCAGTGGGTATAAATTGGGAGGGGAAGACAGTGCTGACTTCTTACATTCAATTTTTGAGCATGTTCAATAAAGGGATGTTCTTTCTTCCCTGCCAAAATTCTTCTCTCAAATATCCTTCTCATATATTCAAAAATGTGCTTGAAGAGTTTTTTGGTTCTGTTTTTACAAAAAATGATATATATATCAAACATGTTTCTGCTAAGTAGACAGGATTGGAGGGAGAGTGAGAGGTGGATTTTCCTTTTCTAAATTACATATACACTTTTGTATTGTTCAATTTTTACAACAAGCTTGTATAATTTAAGAAATTGAAATAAAAAAAAAATGTTCCCTGGGAGGGTCTCACTTGTAGTTTCAGCTGAATTTCTTCAATCATAACGTAAATCAATACCTATCTGAGCACCTGAGAGAGTGAAGTGAGAAGTGGAGGAAAGGGAGAGAGGTATGCCGAAGGCAGGTTGAAGGAGGGGACACTCTGATAATTGTGAAAGAGGCAAGAACCTGGGAGACGAGGGGAGGGCTGTGTGCCGGGGAACAGGGTCGGGATTCAACAGTGGGACTTACACATTTATCTAGTTATCTGCCCAGGAGATGACTAAAGTAGTGACTGGGTAGGGGATGGTTTCCTCAAAAAGGGAAGTAGGATGTTCTCAGTGGATGGCTGCAGTAGTTAGGTTTCTTCCCAGGAAATAGCAATTTACTTCAACCAGTAAGGTGGGACATGAGGCATGGTCTAGGTTTGAGTGTGAAGCTGGTAGGAGAGAGTTTTCTCGAGTACCAGAAATAGAACTAACTCCAGTAACCTATAAGGAGGAATAACAAGGATGGGGGGGGGTACTAAGTAATAGGAGTGGATAGAAAGTGATAGGGTGGCTGAGAACTAAGGGATATCATGTTCTTCCTTAGCAAACTGAGGAGATCTTGAGGTCTATACTTGGTTTTTAAATTTTGAATATGAAAAAAGATTCCAAACAGGCAACAAATGAAAAAACAAAACACAATCTAACTCACCACTCCGTGGTTAACAGCTGGTTTTAAATATGATGGTTAAGCTTTCAAGGTCTTCATTCTTTAAATTTAATTCTTCAAGCAAAGTCTCTATAAACTGTGTAAACACCACATTTTCCTGAGAATGCTTCTGAATGCCAAGAATTGGGGTCAGTCTGAAAAGACCAAAAATATTAAATGCAATTCCATGAAATGAGGACTAAGGGGCTCCTGTCTTCTCCATAGCAGAGGGGATTTTTGTCACAGCAGAGAAATGAAGTCTTTCTGATTTAACAAAATTTCCAGAGACAGAAGGCTTTACTAATAAAGGCAGAGAAGAAATCTCAGGAAAAGAATGAAAGATCAAACATACTGTTAAGAAACCTAAAAGCCTGAATCTATAACATGTTCTTCATTATGCCAGGAAAAGCTACCAAGTTCTCAGAAATGAAAATGAAGTCTTTCCACTTAGGGAAAAGAAGCTGTGGAAAGAAGCTTAGAGGTGAGAACTGCTTTAAAACCATACTGAATGTTTATATCACCTGAATAAAAAAAATAAATGATAAACAGGATTACCTTTTGGATGAAACCTTAATTTTTTATTTTTAAAACACTAAATAGATGAATTACATCTTATAAGGCACTTAATACAATCTTCTACGCACTCTGCTTCTTTCCCAAGTCACTTCCAATAAACAACTGATTGCATATATTCTCAAAAGTAATTTTCAATGAAATGTCATTATTCACTTTTATTTAAAAGTCATGCTTACTAATCAAAGATTAAGACCATTACTTTCCATAAATTAGATATGTAACTACATATAATAATTATGTATATATTATGTATAATCTCCAGAGAGCATGCTTCACAGAGCCTTTGTAAGGTATATTTCTGGAAAGCTTTTGGTGAGAAAATTCTTTTGTCCTTGAGTAGTCTTATACTTACCACAAAGGTCTTCCAGATGCTTTGTGAACACCGGTGCCACCAGGCACATCAAATATAAATAACCCTCTGACTTCAATCAATAAAGCTCAAGGAATCAGAGTGGAGCAACTCCACGGTAATGAGTGTGGAAGAGGAAATGTTACGTTCTCAGAGAGTTCTTGCTTGCTTAGCCATCTTACAGAGAAAGCAGAAGTAAAAGGAAATCTTTGCCACATTGTCTAAAGACAGCCGGGACCTGGAAGAGGTGGTAAATTCTCTCTCTCTCAAGGTATCTTACCAAAAACTGGAGACGAGGTGACTCCAAAAGTCCAGTGAAATCCACAGAGTTCTAACATGGGAAAACCACTATAGTGTATTCCTTCCCCACCTCTCCTGTATTTCTCTACAGCTGGAGAATGCACTACCAGGTTTTGACATTTTAATGAGCTTTATCTGCAGGTATACCCCCAAAGGGTAACACAAGCTTTCCAAGGCCAAGCCCACGCTGGGCACTTGGGCAAACTTAGGCATTTGTGGCCAGCTTTTCCTGAGTCCTCTTCCTGCCATGAAGGTGGAACCCAGAAGTCAACTCTGGCTTTTCCCACACGAATAAAGTTGCTCTTACCCACAATACAACCAAAGTTACTGGGGGTTGGATAACTTCAGCTAAAATAAAACCAAGAAGTCAGGAGGCAGATCAGATCCTTCAACTCCATACAAAGGTAGCTTTTGTGTATATTTAAAAATGGTATACATGGCACATCCAAAACAATTTCTGACTTTCAAAGAGACTAGTATTGGATTCATATATGAAAACAAGGTCTCAATTACTTCTCAAAGTGCCATTGGTATGTTTTAAAATTTAACCCTCAAAATAGAAGTAAATGGTGATAGCTAGATTTCTCAACCTATGTGCCCATATGAGAGCAGACAATGGGAAGATTAAGCAGCTTTAAAGAATCATTCTATCAAGTGCCAGGGTTATAAAATATTTTAGGAACAGTGATACTTCTCTAGCAAACTTCTAAGACTAAAATTATAATAACTTCATTATGTGTTCATAGACACCTAAAAGTTTTGTTTACAAAGGAGGGAAGACAATGATGCAGAAAGACCCTCAGCTCACCTCCTCCACACACTGAATCTACGCCTACATGTTGAGCAATTCCCCCTGAAGAACTAGGGCTGACTGAACAGGGATAGAGGGACCACACAGAGAAAGGAGAGAGAGAGACACAGTAACAACAGTAATCCAACCCCCTGCCCCGCCACGCCCCCATCTTGCCAACTGCAGTGGGGAAGGTAGTATCCAGAGACCAAAAGTACAGCTCAGCCCTGTGGCAGAGATAAAAAAGACGCACTTTAAAAGAGCATCTAGAATATGAAGGAACCAGCTCTAGAGCATCTGAAAAACGGCAGGGAGCTGCTAGAACACTCTCCCTGGGTCCCAGGTACTGGCCAGCACCATTGTTCATATTCCCTGTCCACCCTGACTGATAGCATAGATGGGAGCTGGCCTGCTGCATCAGTGAGCCTCAGTCCCTTAGGACCCCACTAGCCCCAGCTGCCCTACTGCACAGGAAAAAAAAGGCTGTAGATTAAAAGAACAACTGGAAGATAATGGAATGAGTTCTAAGGGCATCTGCCAAAAGGCCAGGGAGCTGCTGGAACACACTAGTATCAAAGGTGCTGGTGAGTGCCATGGCTCATGTTCCCCTCCCACTTCATAGCACCGACAAAAGCAAGGTCTGGGCACCCTGGCCACCTGCCACAGTGAGCCCGGGCCCCTAGCCCACCAAACCCCACCAAATCCAGCTGCCCCTACAGGTGGCCCTCCAACCCTCGCCCGCTAGAGCTCTAGCTGTCTCCCTAAGGTAGCCCCAGTGAAGTACACACTGAACCACCCCCGGACAGCACCCACTATAGCTCCAGCTGTCTTGCCAAGGCAACACAGGCACAATCATTGTGCGACATCACTTCAGCTCTAGACGACTCACGAGGGCACCTACTGTACCGAGTGGCCCAGGACCTCCCAGCCCATACCTGCTTCGGCAGCATCTGTCCCGCCAGGGTGCCCCAAGTGCAGAGAGCCCTGAGACCTCCTGGCTGGCATCTGTCTTCGCTCCAGCCATCCTGTCAGGGTACTCCCTGCATGGAGTGCCTCGGGACCCCCGGGCCCACACCTGCTTCAGCTCCTGCTGTCCCATCAAGGAGCACTCTACATGGAGCACCCTGTGACTCCTAGCCCAAGGCCACTTTGGTTCCAGCTGTCCTGGCATGGCGCCCCCCTGAGTGGAGTACCCAAGGACCACCTGGTTATGCTTCAGCTCCTGCCACCTTGCCAGGACGCCCCATATTGCAGAAAACTGTGGGACCCACTCCCACCCCCTGCTGCCCGCTTTGGCTCCAGCCATCCCACCAGGGTGCTATATGCCTGGGACACCCCAGGACTCCCAGCCTACACCTGTTACAGCTTCAGCCAGCCAGCTAAAGTCACAGGCATAGTCTACACCGGAGATATTCCTACACAAGGCCATTACCTCATGTCTAAGAGAAATAGCTGTTCTGCCTAATTCATAGAAACAGAAAATCAAACAAAATGAGGAGATAGCGGAATATGCTTCAAAAGAACAAAGCAAAATTTCAGAAAAAGAAAGAAACAGAGCCAAGCAATCTACATGATAAAGAATTCAAAGTAATAGTCATAAAGATGCTCACTGGACTTGAGTGGATAAACTCTGAACTTCAACAAAGATAAAAAGGATAAAGAACCAACCAGTTGAAGAATAAAGTAACTGAAATGAAAAATATACTAAAGGGAATTAACAGTAGATGAGAGGATACAGAAGAAAGGATCAGCAATGTAGAAAACAGGGTAATGAAAAGCATCCAAGCTGAACAGCAAAATCCTAAAAGGATTTTAAAAAATGAGAAGAGGTTAAGAGATCCTTAGGACAATATCAAGTGTACTAACATTCACTTGATAGAGGTCCCAGAAAAAGGGGAGAGAGAGAGAGAGAGAGAGAGAGAAAGGGGCAGAAAATTTTGAAGAAATAATAGCTAAAAACTTCCTTAACTTGGGGAAGGAGACAGACATCTAGGTCCAGGAGGCACAGAAAGTCCCTAACAAGATGAACCCAAGGATGTCTACACAGCCAGATGATAATTAAAATGTCAGAGTAAAGATAAAGAATCTTAAAAGTAGCAACCAACAGAAAAACAACTGGTTACGTGTAAGGAAAACCCCATGAAGCTATGAGCTGATTTTTCAGTAGAACTTTTGCAAGCCAGAAGGTAGGATATAATCAAAGTGCTGAAAGGAAAAACCTACAACCAAGAATATTCCAACTAGCAAGGGTATTCAGAATAGGAGAGAGAGAGTCTCCCAGACAAAAGTTAAAGGAGTTCATCACCACTAAACCAGCCTTACAAGAAATGTTAAAAGGACTTCTTTAAGCAAAAAAAGAGAAGTCATAATTAGAAAATTATGAAAAGAAAAACATCATAAGTTAATAGGTCGATCACTAAAAAAGCTAGTATGAATATTAAAAGACAATAGTAGTAAAATCACCATTTTTCTAAAAAAAAAACATATAGATGGCCAATAGACATATGAAAAGATGCTCAACATCACTCATCAGGGAAATGCAAACAACCACAATGAGATATCATCTCACACTTGTCAGATGGCTAAAATAAAAAACTCAAAAAACAAGTACTGGTGAGGATGTGAAGAAAAAGGAACCCTCATGCACTGTTAGTGGGAATGCAAACTGGTGCAGCCACTGTGGAAAACAGTATGGAGGTTCCTCAAAAAGTTAAAAATAGAACTATCCTACAATCCAGTAATTGCACTACTGGATATTTACCCAAAGATTACAAAAATACTAATTTGAAGGGATACATGCATCCCTATGTTTATTGCAGTATTTACAATAGCCAAGATATGGAAGCAACCCAAGTGTCCATCTATAGATGAATGGATAAAGAAAATGTGGTACACACACACAGTGAAATATTATTCAGCCCTAAGAATGAAATCTTGCCATTTACATCAGCATGGATGGATCTAGATAGTTTAATGCCAAGCAAAATAAGCCAGTCAGAGAAAGACAAATACCGTATGATTACACTCATATGTAGTATTTAATAAAGAAAACAAATGAACAAAGGGGGGAAAAAAAGACAACCCAAAAAAACCCAGAATCTTAACTATAGAGAACAAAGAGAGGGTTACCAGAGGGGACATGGGTGAAATAGGTGAGGGGGGTTAAGAGTACACTTACTGTGATGAGCACTGAGTAATATATGGAATTGTTGAATTGCTATTATTATATGCCTGAAACTAATATAACAATGTATATTAACTACACTGAATTATAATTTTTAAAAAAGTAGTAAAATCAATTATATCTAAAAAATTATAGGACTCAGAAAATAAAAGGATGTAAAATATAGCATATACATAAAACATGAATAGGAAAAATGTAGTGCTTTCAGAATGAGTTTGAACTTAAGCAACCATCAAGTTAATATAGACTGTAATACAATTAGGATGTTATATATGAACCTCATGATAACCACAAACCAAAATCCTTTAACAGATACACAAAAAAATTAAAGGAATCCAAGCCTAAAACTAAAGAAAGCCATCAATCACAAGGGAAGAGAGCAAAAGAAGAAATGGACAGAGAAGAACTATAAAAACCACCAGAAAACAATTAACAAAATGGCAATAAGTCCATACCTATCAATGGTTACTTTAAATGTATATGTTCTAATGCTCCAATCAAAAGACACAGGGTGACTGATTGGGTTAAAAAAAAAAAAAACCCATCTATTATGCTGCATACAGGAAACTCACCTCTGATGGAAAGACACAAACAGACTGGAAGTAAAGGGATGGAAAAACATATGACAATGCAAATGAAAGTGCAAAAAAAAAAGCTGAGGTAACAATACTTATACAAAAGAGAGTTTAAGACAAAGACCGTAATAGAAGACCAAGAAGGACATTACATAGTGATAAAGGGATCAATCCAACAAGAGGATATAACAATTATAAATATCTATGCACCCAACACAGGAACACCTAAATAAATAAAGCAAATATTAACAGACATAAAGGGAGAAAATAACAGTAATACAACAATAGTAGAGGACTTTAACATCGCACTTACATCAATGGATAGATCATCCAGACAAAAGATCAATAAGGAAACAGTGGCTTGGAATGATACATTAGATCAGATGGACTTAAGAGATATGCCCAGAACATTTCATTCCAAAGCAGCAGAATACACATTCTTTCCAAGTGCACATAGAACATTCTCCAGATCACATGTTAAGCCATAAAATGAATCTCAATAAGTTTAATTAAAGAGTGAAATATATCAAGCAGCTTTTCCAACCACAATCATATGAAACCAGGACTCAAATACAAGAAAAAAAGTCTGGAAAGAACATAAACATATGGAGGCTAAACAACAGGTTCCTAAACAAGTAGGGTCAACCAAGAAATCAAAGAGGAAATTAAAAAATACATGGAGATAAATGGAAATGAAAATACAATGGCCCAAAATCTCTGGGATGCAACAAAAGCAGTTCTAAGAGAGAAGTTTACAGTGATACAGGTCTACCAAGACCCAAGAAAAATCTCAGGTAAACAATCAAACCTTATACCTAAAAGCACTAGAAAAAGAAGACTAAACAAGGCCCAAAATTAGTAGAAGGAAGGAAACAATAAAGATCAGAGCAGGATTAAATGAAATGGAGACTAAAAAAAAAAAAAAAAAGGAAAAAAAAATCAATGGAAACTAAGACTGCATCTTTGAAAAGAGAAGTAATATTGATAATCCTCTAGCCAGATTCATCAAAAGAAAAAAAGAGGACTCAAATAAGTAAAATTAGAAATGAATGAGAAGTAAAAGCAGACAACACAGAAATACAAAGGATTGTAAGAAGCTACTATGAAAAATTATATGCCAATAAATTAGACAACTTAGAAGAAATGGATAAATTTCTAGAAATATACAATCTTCCAAAAAAGTGAATCAGGAAGAAATACAAAATGTGAACATACTAATTATTAGTAACAAAACTAAATGGGGTAATCAGAAATCTCCCAATAACAAAAGTCCAAGACTAGATAAGCTTCACAGGTGAATTCTACAAACATTTAAATAAGAGTTAATAAGTACTCTTTCCAAATGATTCCAAAAAAAACAGGAGGAAGGAAAACTTCCAAATTCATTCTATGAAGGCAGCATTATCCTGATATCAAAACTAGACAAAGAACATATACAAAGAAATCTATAGGCCAGTATGTCTGATGAACATGGATGCAAAAATCTAAAAGGCAATCTACTGAATGGGAGAAGATATTTGCAAAGGATATATCTGATAAAGGGTTCATATCCAAAATATATGAAGAACTTAATACAATTCAACACCAAAACAAAAGGACAATCTGATTTACAAATGGGCAGAGGACCTAAAGACAAATATTTACGAAGAAGACCTACACATGGCCAACAGGAAGATGAAAAGATGCTCAACATCACTAATCAAGGAAATACAAATCTAAACTACGAAAAGATACCACCTTACACCTGTCAGATTGGCTAGAATCAAAAATACAACAATAACAAGCATTGGCAAGAATGTGGAGAAAAAGGAACCCTGATGAACTGTTTGGTGGGAATGTAAATTGGTTACAGCCACTGGCGAAAACAGTATGGAGGTCATTAAAAAATAAAAA